CTGGAAATGGAGCTGTAGAGCAGGGGTGTCCAGCCTTTTGGTGACCCTGGGCCACACTGGAAGAAGAAGAGTTGTTTTGGGCATGCATTAAACACATTGCAATATGTAATTATAAAAAAAAAAATCTCATAATATTTTAAGTAAATTTTCGATTTTGTGTTGGGCTACACTCATAGCCATCCTGGGGCGCATGCGGCCTGCAGGCTGCAGGTTGGACACCGTGCTAGAATATTAGAATGTGAATAGGATGACTAATTTATTTCCAAACTGCTTTCTGTTTATCAGCTGCGTCGTGGTGATAATTTATATAATAAATCGTGTAATAAATTCCCATTGCAACTGACCACATCTCCCTGAGATTCTTGGATATAGTTGGCTGGAAACATTTGGCTTTGAAGATGAGAATGACTAGGCTAGAAGTCCCAGTAGAGGTTCTACAGAGGTGGCTGGTGTGGGGAACATGGCCCACCAGGCTTCTGATATGGCTCGAAATACTTTTGAGCGGTGCCTGATGAGAAGAGGGTATGTTATCCAGACAGGATAAGCGAGCTCTTCTCATAGAAACTCAAAGCTGTGTATTGACAAGTATTTTTCTGAGAAGCTCACCAGTACACTGGCCTTCAAACAAGGAATTTTTGATGGCCAGTCCTTGGTGTCTTTACCCTTAGCTGTTAATGACTATGTGTATATGAAATAACCTACCTAGAAGTATAATGGCTTTGTGTTTTCAACCTTGGCCTTAGGCTGTGTGATATACTGATGCCTTCTTGTTACTGTTTAAGTTTTTCCAAATATAATATTAGGCTTATTTTTGAGGTTGTAAGTTTGGTTCCTTCTGAAAGGTGCACTTAATACCAGAGTAAATATTTCATGAATGAGGTAGGTTCTTATACAGAAAATAAGAACTTGAAAAATTGCCTTAGATGCCAGGATGATAAAATCCAGTGTCTTCTGTCCTTACTTCCTTTGGCCCAGAGTTTGGCAAGCCTGGACATAATGAAGGGTGACTCTGGGTGGCAGGAAAGGAGCCACCGCCAGTGGGAGGCTGGCCAAGAGCGTAGCAGGAAATCAGACCTCTTGGGAAACCCTCAGTGGAAGACATGGGGACTATACCATGTCAGGATGGAGCCAGCCATCTACCAAACCCACCTCCTCTTCTTTTAACTCAGTAGCGGAATCGCGTGCAAAGTCACATCCTGGTCCTGCAATTTGCCATCTGAGTAGCTTGGGAGGAAGCTGGATTCCCCAGGAGCAGAGAACTCACCTTGAGCTTTAGCTTCTCCTCTCTGTGTAGTTATCCCCACCTCTGCCCCCAGCCCAACCCTACAGTGTTTGGGCCTTATTAGTGTATGAATGAAGGCAACACGTTTCTATATAGGCTGTGCTAACTCATGCTATGCCCTTTCCTTATTCCACCCCCCTTTTTAAAATAAGTCAAAAGAGCTCATCTACTAGAGTTAGAGAAGCAATGAATACTTATGTAGCAAAATAAAGGGAACTGGTGCATATTATCTCTACTACTCTTACTACTTCCAAAACTTTAGATGAACAAGCACTCCCCAGACTGAGAGATCTGTGAGAACTGAAACTTGACTAACTTGCTTACAATGACTTGACATGGAACAGATGTCCATTACATATATTCCCATTATATTGATTCAGTGCTTTCAGTAACTGAGCAATCACAGGCAAACAAAATCGGCATGGAAACAACAAATAAATCTTAGCCTTTACCTTCTAGAATGTGCTAGATGCTCTCCTTCAGTATAACAGAACTGATCGCTATAGAGGAAAAGTAAGTTACTAATGATTCAAAAATAGATGTAATATCTCAAGCTAGGCCAAAGCCACATCCTTAAGTTAATTTTTGATTGTTGATTTATTTTCAAGCCAAGTGAGTGAGTGGCAGACGTAGCTATGGAACAAAGTCTGCTAAATTTGACTAGTTCGTTATTTAACTGTGTGGGTGAGGGGAAGAGGGAGAGGGAGAGAGAAAGGAAATCTGATTGGTCATCCATCTAGAAAGCAGACCCACTAGGTAGCCTCTGGCCCACGATACTGAAATTGGAAAGCTGACCTCTTGGCATGAGGATCACTATTGACCCCAGGCCAACACCATCGCATGGCATGGGGTTATCGAGCTGGAAGGGGCCCGAGAAGTCACTGCTTTTTATTTCCTTTGTTGAAGCATGAGGAAAACAAGTAGTGGCTAGAGAAGTTAAATGATTTATCTAAAGTCGTCTAAAGTCATAATGAAAAAAATTGGGTTAGAACGAGGTTTATTGCCTCCAAGTCTAATGTTTTGTCTATTCTCTATCATGTTGTCTTCTACAAAAATCAATAAGAGTGGAACTCAGTAAAATCTTCATGATATTTTGCAGTGTAAATGGTTGGTCTAGATCGTTGGTGGTTTTTTTTGTTTTGTTTTACTGTCATGCATTTCAAATTCTGTTTTTAGAAATCAAAGTTTTGATGTTTTTTATTGATCTGCTTTCCAGATTGGTTTCCATTTCAGTTACTTATTTCTGTGTAAGGAATCATCCTGATCTCAGTCGCTTAAAACAAGTATTGTGTTTTTCTCGTAATTTAGAAAGGACTTGGCAGGGTGTCTCTTGCTTTACATCTCTTATGCAATTACATTGGAAGTTGCCTGGGGCCACAGTCGTCTGAGGGGTCGGCTGCTTGGGACATTCAGGGGTGCTCACCCTTGCCATTCACAGCTGATGCCAAGGGATCCCCGCTGAGTTGAGAGGTGACTGGGGCTATTCCCCAGAGCACGATGTGGGTGTCTCCATACGGCCCAGGCTTCCTTACAGCTGCCTTAGGGCTCAGGGATCCTCATCAGGATCCCAGTGGGTTAGGCAGGAAATGCATAGCTTCTCACGGCCCAGACTTGGAAGCTGAGAAGTGTTACTTCTGCTACATTTTGTTTGGTAATAAGAGAGTCACTTGGTCCAGGTTCATTGGTTCCACTTCTTGGTGGCGACTGCTGCTCTTGAGCAAATTATACAACTTCTTTGGGCCTCGGTCTCCTCAGGAGTACAGTAGGAATATTGATATTTCTATTACAAGATGGTTTTGCGGATTAGGCAGTAAGTGATAATCTGAAACAAAGTGGCTCCTCAGTGGTAATGATCGTGGTGGGGTTGGCTGTATGGGAAGCCAATTAATTCATAGCCTGATGCCTATTTCTTAACATTTCAGTTATACAAAATATCCCTGAAAAGCAGCTTTTCAGAGCGGGACAGGGCATTCCTTACTCATTTAGAGATACCCATGTGGTGGAATAAAGCCATGGCATAACAGACATGAAATCTCGTGAAATGAGAGACACAAGGACACTAGAGACAAACTTTCCCTGCTTCATAATTCTGTCTTGGGCCAGCTTGCTAAGAAGTACTGTAGCTGGGTAGGGGACCTGAAGCAGGGCTTCCTCTTAGTGTGTTTGGACACTGGTTGGCTCAGTGACTTCACACAGGCAGGACTGGGCCTTCCTTCCCCTGGTACTTCTAATCTTTCTGTGCATTTCAGAGGCTGATGAGTCCAGAGAGGGTAAGGGCAGTGGCAGGCAGCAGCTGGCTGAATGAGGAGGCAGCAGCTCACTTTTGCGACAGTGGTGCCGAGCCTCGGGTGCAGCCGCCTGGAAGGGTTCTTTATCTGCTGTGTTTAGCATCCATTCAGAAAAGCTGAAAACTGTTTGGCACTTCTTTTCAGTAATCCTTAATTCTAACCTGCGTGTTTTGTGCTACAATTTGTCAACTGTGCTTTGGAGAGATGTCACATTCTTCTTACAAACAGAGATGAATCCTGTTTTCCATTGAGTGTCATTTAAAAGAAACCAGAGAACCTTTCAGGGATGTGAGTCTGTTGATTGCTGTCATTTTTATTGTGACTCAAATTCTTTACCATTTACTTAATGACAACAAATGTGCCAGGGGCATTGTAAGCACAGAGTTCCAAGTTGTTTCTGCCCAGGAGACACAGCCTCACTCTTTCCACAAGTTTTGTGCTTTTTGTTTCCCCTCCTCCTTTGGAGTATTCTGCAAAATTGGGAATGCCGTGATCTGGGTGGAAAATTGATCCAGGAAGACGTTGATTATTCATCTGCTGTTACTCATGGTCACGGCATGTAGCACCCAGCTGGCTTAATGATGACAAACTTCTTTTTCATATGCCTTACTATTCCACTTCATGCTGAAACCCCCATCATATTGAAACAAACCTCATTCTATCTCATTCATAGATATCTCCATCCTTACTTTTTAAAACACCTCTTTCTTTTGAATTCATTTCACCCTTGACAGGAAGATGTTCTTCTACCTGAACTAAATTTGTAATGATGCAGCATCTGTCTGTCTCCTCTTGTGTGAAGAGAGAAAGCTGCTGGTCATCATTTTTGGTATTGTCATCCTTTTTAGTAATTGCAGTTTTTGATTAGGGCTCTCTTCCGTCATTCATTACCAACTCCAGATTTAATAATGTCTCTTATTTAACCAATGGACCATCTCTAGTGAGTGCTCAAACTACATGACCGGAAGAACAAATTTAGTTTCGGCAATATGGTTTTCTTGGGCTATGAGCTGTGTCCTGTGCTCTTGGCTCATGAGTTTGGGAGAGATTCTGACATGTTCTTCAGAGACCAAGAATTGGAATTTCATGGGCCTGTTTGTTCAGCCTGTGGAAATAGAGTGGCAGAGTGTAAGCCCTCTATTTCATGGTATCAGCTCCAGTTTAAGCCTGTGATGGTATTGATTATCAGCACAGTGCTTGGCACATCACAGGCCTTCTGTGTTTGCTGGCCTAGTGGCTGGATTGACAGAAAAATCGAGCTGTGAAATGTGTGAATCTGTACAGTGTTCTCACTGGAATATACTTTGAGGGAAATCCTGTTACCAAAGGCTCCAACATGTCGCGTATTCCATTCCATTTAATTCCATCTCATCCCATTGCATCTCATCGTATTCCATAATTTACCAAGTGCCTGCCCTGTGTGGGGTGCCATGCTAGGACCCGGGGAGACCAAGAGGAACGAGACAGAACACTCGCTCCAGAGGGGCTCGCTGTCTGAAGCGGTATGGAAGATAAATAACTGCTGCAAATCCTCTTCCAGCCCTCCCACCGGGAGGTGGAGCCTTACTTTACTCACCGGAACCTAGGCTACCGCCGGCAACTTTACTAACCAGCGGCGGTTAGACTTGAGAAACTAAGTCAAAAGAGGCCTTGCAGATTGCACCCAGTTCTTGTTCTGGGGGACATGGCCGTCACGTGAGAAGTCCAAGCCCTTATGATGGTCATGCTGGGAAGGCCACCTGGAGGCCCTCTGGTGACAGTCCATGGTGAGCCTAGACCCCTCTGCCGGCCAAGGTGACACCATCGCTGCTACAGCACCAACTATGAGAGGGAAGCCATCACAGATGCTCCGGACCAGCCAGCCCATGTGCCGGCTGGATGCCACCCGGGGCCCTCGCTCGACACCGCAGAAAGCAGCAGGGTCTCCCAGCCAGGCCTGGCCCAGATTCTCCACCCGCTTAATAAAAAGGCTGCTGTTTTAAACCTTTAAATGTTGGTGTCGTTTCTTGCCCTGCAAATGGAACAGGGAGGTAAGAAAATAACCAGGGTCTAGTAAGGATTCTAATAAAGGCATGTATTGTACAAAGTGGGTTGTGGGAAATCAAATGGAGACCAAATAATTCTGTTCTTAGAGAGGCCAGGCCACTGCATTGCACCACTTCTGGGGGCTCCACTGTGGTTTCAGTCTTTGTGGACGGTGCCCCCGGAGCTGTGCAGCACCCAGTGTGTGCAGACCTGCGGCAGTTTCGGGTAATGGGTGCCGGGGAAGCAAGTTAGCAGGGCAAACTATAGAGAATGGGAGTTTGAGCTTGGAATTGAAGTATAAGCAGATTTCATGGGAAAGAAGAGGGAGGGGAAATTGTACGGCAGCAGCGGTAGCATCATGAGCAAAACTCTGAAGGCACAGGTTCCCACCGTGATCTTGGGGCACCATAACTGGTCCTATGCAGTCGCCATGTGCAGTACAGGGGCAGGGGGCGTGGCTGGAGATGAGCCTCCAAAGGCTGAGTGATATGCAGAGTCTTATTGACACACCATCCTGATGAGTCAGGAGGAAGAACGCAACAGGAAGACCGAAAATGTCAAAGCAGGGGAGCAACAAATTTGAAACAGTATTTGAGAAAATTGCAGTTCAAAGCCCCACAGACTGTGAAAGACACTGTTTGTTCTTCTGACTGGCTGCCTCTCTCTGAGCACTTGGCAGATCCATTTTTTTTATAGGAAAGCCTTCAACAACAGGGGATTACTCAATGATTCATTTAAAAGGATCGTTAACGGAAAATCGAGACCCTTTGTATCCTGCCTTCTTTAATTGCTCATTTATTATTACAGTAGGGTGAGATAACACTTTGTGTTCTCCTTTGAACTAGTGTAAAATATTTATTGGCAAATATAGCAGTGCAGAAATTAATGCCACTTGAGATTTTGTTGAGCCTTTTTTCTCCACGGATGGCCATAATTTTTACTTGGAGAAAAACACCCTTGTGCTGATCCATTCTGGCTCAGACCTGAGAGCATCGTGAGCTCAGTGTCTGCATGGCTGTACTACTGTCCCTTAATTTCCAGAGTCTCCTGGTGGGCTGGCCCTGTAGTGTGTTCGTGAAATCAATTTTTTTCCCTGTTTATAGAACACAGTGCTTAAGAAGAAGGCATGTGAAGGTGTGAAATGTTCTTCTTTGCTCATCACCTCAAAATTCCATAACATAAACCATCCAAATAAAAGTAGCTTTGCAAATGAGGATATTTATTATTTTATCTGAAAGCCCACAGGCAGGTAGTCCCATGGTGTTGGTTCAGTGGCTTAAGAATGTCACAGTGGCCCAGGATTATGTCCTTAAGACAGCAATGTCCAAAGACAGAAAACAGTTGTTTTCAAATTGTATTATATTTATTGGGCTGACATTGGCTAATAAATTATGTAGGTTTCGAGTATACAGTTCTGCAGCACATCATCTGTATATTGCATTGCGTTCGCCTTCCCGAAGTCAAACCTCCTCTGCCACCATGTATTTGACCCCCTTCACCCTCTTCCACCTCCCTCCAGCCCCCTTCCAACAGGAAGACAGAAAATGTCAAAGCAGGGGAGCCCCAAATTCGAAACAGTATTTGAGGAACCCTGGTAACCACCATACTGTTGTCCGTGCCTGTGAGTTTTTGTTTCTCCTGTTTGTTCATTTGTTGCTTTCAGTTTTATAGGCCACATATGCGTGAAGTCATATGGTGGTTGACTTTTTCTGTCTGACTTACTTCGCTTAGCATACTTACAGAGGTTTTTTTTTTCTTCTTCCTTGCTTTCAATGCCATGGGGGTTTTTTGTTTGTTTGTTTTTGTTTTTTAATTCCTAGAGAAAAATCTTTTCTTGAATCTCTCACCAGACTTCTATTCAGGTTTTCTTATCCAGATCTGAGCTCCTCAAAGTCAATCACGTGAACAGCAGAAAGGCTTAGAGGAGATGGACCGGGGATACTTCCGGGGACAGGGGAGAGAATGCTCCATCCGCTACTCCTGTCCCAGACTGGAAGGCAGCTACACAGGAATGGTTTGTGGGTGTGCAGCCTTCTTCCCAAGGGGTGGTGATTCGGTGCATTCCCTATGCCCTGCTCTTTATCCCTTCAGGCAGGTGCAATAGAAGTGTATGAGACAATGCTTGTTCTCGGAGTTTTAGCAGACATTGTAATAAAGCAGGCAGCTCCTTAACTTGAGAAACTAATATAATAAAATATATGGATTATCTATTACACCCTACGAGATGAGTTGAATCAGACCTAGTTCTTGCCCACAGAAGATCTCAATTCCCTTCGCAGGCAGCGTTATTGGATCTGGTCATACTGGGAGCAATTCGACCCCCAGGGTCACCACGTTCTGTCATGCTTTGTTCTGAGTGCACAGGGACGTGGCGTAGCTCTGACTCTCCCCCCATGCTCCTTTCTGCTTGGTTTCTCGGATTCGTCACCCATGAACCGGGCTGGGTTGAATGCCCCTTTCCACATTCTCCTGGCATTGACGCTTCCCTGTCACAGTCCTTGACATCGGGGGTCCTCCTCTTCCCCTGGCTGCTCACCCATGAAGGCAGATTAGGTTTCAATCAATTTGTATCTTTACTGACTAACCTGGTGACTGGAACATAGATGGCTTCCAAAGAATGTGTGCGGGATGAATGCATGAATAATTAAGTGAAAGGAAATTAAATCTGGATCTTTTCCCCCTCTTTAATCAGTTTCTACCTTATTAGTTTTTCTTTTTGTTTTCTTTCCTTTTTTTCTCATTTCTCCATTTCCTTCTTTTTCTTTGCTCATAATGCACAGTTAACTAATACACTATTCATGAACTAATACGTATGGCATTTTACAAGTTATACAAATTGGCACAGACTTGCTTTTATCTTTGACCCCTCCCTCCTTTCTCAGAAAGAAGCACAATTATTGGGGGTGCTGGAGGCAGACTCAGAATCATCAGTGTTAATCACAGAGCCGTTGGAGGACTTTGTTTCCTCCCATTAGCTGTCTGTGGGTTCACTTTCAAAGAGCCAAAGTCCTGCTCTGATATTTTGATTCATAATAAGAAATACGTATTTCTTCATCCCAGTTTCTGGCCCAGAGCTCCTACACCTTTGGAATTTCCTAAGCAATGAGGGCAGTGAAAGTATCTTTTGTTATGTTAGCAGGGGGACTTTGGGACAGCACCTAGGGATGGACGGGGGCTGGTTTCCAGGATAACCAGGGACAGGGTTAGAGCGCTGGGACTTTTAGTCACGCCCCCGCCCCCAGGAGGTGGAATCTCCCGACTTTGTACAGTTGCGCCCCCTTGTTTGCAGGTTTGCTTTTTGTGATTTGTTACCCACAGTCAACGCTGGTTAGAAAACATTAAATGGAAAACTCCAGAAATAAAAAATTCGTAAGTTTTAAACTGCAAGGCATTTTGAGCAGCGTGATGAAATCTCACGTGATCCCCTACGTTGGCCGGCGTGTGACGCTCCCGTTACCCAGCGTCCCCCTCGCTGTGCGCGTCTCCGCGCTACAGGCACTTCCCGCCCTCAGTCACGTTGTCGCCCCCTCGGTTATCAGGTGGTTGTGCAGTAAGTCAGGGCTTGTGTTCAAGGAATACTTATTTTAATTAATAATGGCTTCAAAGTGCGAGTGTAGCGATGCAGACCCCTCCAATATGTGGAAGACAAGCTGGAAAACGCTTCCTTTTAGTGAAAAGGTAAAAGCGCTTGACTGAGCAGTGACAGAAGAAAGTCGTAGGCTGAGGGTGCTAAGATCTATGGTAAGAATGAGTCTTCTATACAGGAAATAAGATATTTGGAGAGAGAGTACACTAGCATAGTTCATTACAGTATAGTGTTATAATTGCTTTATTATTTGTTACTGTTGTTAGTTACTTACTGGGCCTAACTTATAAATTAAACTTTATCATAAGTATGTATGTATAGAGAAAATATTGTATTATGGTTCGATAGTATGCAAAGTTTTAAGCATCCACCGGGGGTCTTGAAACATATCCCCCACCGATAAGAGGGGCTACTGTAATGAAGAGAGAGAGACAGAGAGAGAGAAACATGAACTTGTTGTTCTACTTATTGATGCATTCATTGGTTGCTTCTGGTGTGCCCCCTGACCGGAGATCAAACCTGCAACCTTGGTGCTTTGGGATGATGCTCCAACCAACTGGGCCGCTAGACCACGGCCTCCCTTTAGGCAGTTTTTGTTGCAGGGAGTCTTTCTCAATGGAAGGAAGTGCACAGCCCTGCCACATCCACGCACACCCCCGACCATGCCGCCTCCCTGTCTGCACATCTAATGAAAGATGCGTGTGTTTTCGTTGCAGACCTCCTCTGACAGGGCATCCATCCTGACCATCCTCCAGGTGCTCGGAGACCTGCTCTCTGTGGGTGAGTAGGCCATGCTGTTGTCCCTCATGCGGTGGGCGCGGGACGTGGGGCTGCAGTGCTGCCCAGGAATCCAAGCGGCCTAAGTTTTTGCTCAAGTTTTCTGCGAGACAGGATCACCTGCCCACCTTTCTTTTTCACTGAGGTTGATAAGTCCTGGTGTAAACCGGGCCTGCTATACCTTGAGGTCTTCAGTCTTGTCACTCACCCTACGGTGACCCAAACTTAGGAGGAAATTAGTCTCTGGGTGTTATTCTGTGGTATCTCCTCTCTGAGGCGGAGGACCTCTGGGCATCCACAGCTCTTTTCAGAGAGTTGCCCACGGCAGCTTGGCCTTTCCTCCTGCTCCTTCCCTCGTTGTGGCCCGTTTTAGAGTCAGGTATTGGCAGCTCCCCACCATGTGTCACTGGAGACAGACACATGAGGCAGGAGCTGGACCTAGTAGTTGGTAAGCCATCAGGTTTTCAGAGATAAGATGACAGAGTTGACTACATTGGAATCAACTGAGTTAACTAGGGCATGCCTGTATGAGCTCATGTCCACGTGAGAGTCCTGGAAAACACAGCTTTTGGGATGTTCCAACATTCACTCAGTTTTCATTCTACGTGTGCCAGCCACATTGCATTAGGAAGAAATATCAACACCAAACATCCATCCCAAAATGAGCGACACTCCAGAGCCGCAGAGCCTCGGGCTACAGTTCCAAGAGGAAGGATCCATTCACAGAGAAGTGCTCCTGGTTCCCATAGCCTGTGCTGCCCTCCAGTGGCAGGGCGACTTCCCCGCAGTCTTCTGAGTGAGGTGCCCTCCTGTCTTTTGGGATGGTGCTGCCTTCTGTGGGTCCGGTGGGGTCTGGAACTCTTAGAATGAAACCTTGCAGTTCTCCTCCTGATCCAGGTGCTGAATATTGCCCCTTTAGTAGAGGGCGCTATATCTTCCATCAGGATGAAAAACCAGAAGGTCTCCTTTGCTGATCATGTCCCGCCCTGTTGGCCAACTTGGTTGGGTCAACCATACCCAGTGCATAGAGACTCACCCAGGACCCCTTCCAAGTTGAAATGTAATCACTGCTTTTGAGCTTCTCCGGGGACAATGTGTGTTGGGGGGCAGGGGAGTCCTTGTTCAAAACTATTCTTAAACAGAAAGATAATATACTTCATCCAAGCCCCAGACTTAGATAAAATAATTGGACATTTGTCTCCCAAAGGATTACGCTAGTTTCCATATTTTCCTCCCATCAGTTACTGAACTGTTACACCATCAATTTTATTGTTCTAGATAAGCTCTCATCCCTATCCCTGTTAGAGATAATTCAAACCTATAGTGAAGGATACTGTTTTTCCTCTTCTATTAAAGTATATGATTATACATAAACCCGTATGCATATTTATATACGTGCAGACACAAATACAGGCATGCACTGAAGACTCGGTAGATCCTTAGTGGATCTAGGCTTCATTTTGTATAGCTGTTACAGGTGAATACACCTAGTGCTTAAGTATTCTATTATTTCTACATTTCATCCTCCCCCACCCCTTACCTAATAGTATGACCCTCACACAGGTTGATTCAAGAACTACACAATTTTGGTTTCCTGGGTAAAAAGAATCCGTCCTTGCTCTGCTTCTAGCTCCAGGGAAAAGAGAGTGATTTTTTATGCTCAGCTCTCCTCTTCTTCCCCCCAGGCACAGACAGGAGGATTCGCTACATGATCAGCAAGGGAGGCAGCGAAGCCCTTCTGCAGACCCTGGTGAACACAGCGAGGACAGCATCACCTGACTATGATGTCCTCCTGCCCCTCTTCCGGCTGCTGACCAAAGTCGGCCTGCGAGGTACCCACACCCCCAGACCTGAAGACGGCGCACAAACACTTCTGAGTTTGTTAGTGTGAGAGTTTGGGAAGCTTTTGTGGGGAAGTACAGGGAGGAGGCAGAAGGAAGGTTCTAGACCCCTGGAGGGTGATGGCAGGAATCCCACAGTGGCCAAGACAGACAAGGGATTCTCTCTCACGGAGCTTATGTTCGAGTGGAGGGAGGATAGAAAGTAAATAAAAATTAACCAGGAGATGGCTGTAAGGGAAAAGGGTGATGTCATTCTGTGAGGTGTGGCCTGGGAGAGGTGACATTGGAGCACAAACTTGAAGGATGAGAAGTCAGCAAAGCACAGAGTGGGTCAAGTGAACTCTTGGAAAAGACCCGCTACATACCCCTGTCATAAATAATATAAGGTAGGAAGTCAGAGCTGGGGCTCAGATCTGGCCTTGACACTTATTAGCGGTGTGACCTTGGACAAGTTACTTCAACTTTCTGAGCCGTTGGGTCCTCATCTTCAAAATGAAGGCATCTGTCCTTAATCCTAGGGTTACTGTAAGGATTGAGTAAGATTTTGTATGTCACATGTTTAGCATGTGGGTGATGAGGCCTGACCAAGAAGAGTCACGTAGGTTTCATAGGAGAAAGGGAGGAGAGACGCAGCAGGGCAGTGGTTTTCAGGCTACAGACCTTGATGTTACTATTTCCATAATCATATCAACACAACTTTTGTCATTAACAATTGCAGCCCTTGATGTTGACAGTCGAGTTGCCAGTGGCTGACCGAACTGAGCAGAAATGAGGTTGTAGGCTCATGATGGGAGCCAGATAGATCTCATTTTCTAAGGAGTGGGCATGGGTCTTATGAGTTCGGTCTTGATCTCTTTGCTGTTGTCCTTTGGTCCAGAGCTAAATGTTGGTAAACCAGGTTTAGGATATTTCTTCAGTGTCATGCATTTCCACTTGTGATGCATCTGATAGTTATTGTATTCTTACAAAAACACGCATGATGATTTGAGCCTCGCACTTTGGAAAGGACATCAACAAATGTGTGAGAATCAGGAACATATCATAGAATAAAAAGTACTTTCCCCTTATTTCTATTTGTATTCACTGATTAATAAAATAATGACGACTAGCCTGCAACACTAAATATCACATTATATAGATCAATAATTTAGAGAAATTTGGGGAAAAAATGTCATTTTCTTAAATTATGTTCTCTATTTTTATTATAAAGTTCTCTATCCTAGAGAAAGATGACCTCATCTACCTAGTTCTTAGATCTAACCACTGTTAACATTTTGCCATATTTTCTTCACCTAGTTATTTTTATTTGAAATATTTTTGGAAAAATTATAGATAGCATTTTACTCCTAAATACTTTCAAGTGCATTTTTTGAAAAAATATTTTCCTGTATAGTCATAACTCCATGATTACAAGTCCAACAAAATTAGCAATGAATGAATAATTTAGACTCATTTTAGTTTCTCCAAATGTTCCCAACAATGTCTTTTACAGACATTTTCCAAAAAAGAATCCAATCTTGGTCCACGAATTGGGTTTAAATGTTATGTCACTTAAGTATCCTTAACTCTAGAAATGTCTTAAAGGAAGAAGTTGATATCTTACTAAACTGAGTTCATGTTTGAGGACAACCAGAAACATCCTTACATAGAAGGACTGTGAGTCAAACAACCCACGAGACTTCATGGGAATAATTGAACAATGGACCTCATGCGTACCCTGAACTAGCTTTTCTGAGACATCTGGTTCCAGTGGGGACACATTTAGTAGCCTTTTCTGTAGATCTGAGAAGTCTCACCAGCTGTGATTATCTTCTTCCTACCACCGTCCTTGCCTTTCTGTCCCCCACACATCATACAATCTTCAGAATTAACATGCGCCACATCTAAGATGGATTCATTTGTGTTGACAGATAAAAAGTTTGGACAGAAGGCACTGGAATTGGAAGCATTGGATGTGACGTTGATTCTGGCCCGGAAAAACCTGTCCCATAGCCAGAACCTCCTCCACTGTCTCTGGGCTCTGCGTGTGTTTGCCTCTAGTGGTAAGTGACTCAGTTGTGGCCTTCTGGGGTGACTTCCAGACCTGGGCTAGGATACCTAGAAGCCCTTTGGGGTTGTGGCTGGAAGGAGGGTATGGGCAGAGAACATATGTGGCCCCACAAAGGTGATCCATGAGGAACCTCATGTTCTGGTGGTAAGAAGTTTTTTTCTTCATTTCCTCTACCGTTGGTAGAGCTCTTGAGCCTGTTCCTAAAGTTAGAGGTCAATATTGTTTTCCCTTGTGAACCACACATTGATAAGCACTCTCGTCCTCTCTGTGAGGACTACAAGGTGGAAAAGACCCAGGAGAGGGCAGACTTTATTCAGTCCTTATATTCAAGGCACAGTGCAATGGGTCACACCTGCCAAGATGGCCCACCCACCACAGACCTCCCACCATGTCCCTGAAGTTACTCATGCATCACAACATCCGTTACCAAATTTCATCTCATGATGCGTCTCTTCATAGCCCGTAAGGTAACTAGATGTATCACAGCCCGTGAAACATCCTTATTTGCCATCTGCTGATTTGGATTGTTTCTGATCATCATAATAATCCTGTTTTTAGACTTAACATTTTATGGCCAAGAAAAAAAAATGAAGCTTGGAAGAGGGAAGTGCTTGCTTGAGTTTATACAGCTATGTTGTGGGAGCTGAGTTTCTAACTCCAAGCTCATGTTTATTCTGCTCTCTGTGTGGTGATAGTCCTTATAAGTAGGTTAGATCCTGTACCTCCTATCTCACATAGAATGAGCACAGATACTGATTTCACTTTCTAAACCCTGTTCCAGCCGAAGGAAAGGGACGATTATGTAGACATAATGCTCTCTAGAGGAAGGACCATAGGCTTAAACTCAGGAGGACCTTAGTCGGACTCTGATTTCATTTCTTAAGGGTGATGTGACATGGGCATTTAGCCTGTTCAACCTTAACCTGTTCTTCCTCTGTAAAAGTGTAGTAGTAATAAGAGCTTACAGGCTTGGTAGGTGGGATGACTGAGATAATATTCACAGGTACGCTTGTCACACATCAGTTGCTCCGTAAGTTCCCTAACTGTGCTCAGAACTACTAAAATGGTAGGTACATGTTTCACCGGTTAATTTCATTTAATCAGCATGAGGACCCATAATGAGAAAACATTTCTAGGGAATAATGAGATAAATTCTTGACTCCATGTTCCCCGACAGAACCTCTACTCTCATGCACATATGTTGAGCAGAAAATCAGAGAATATTTGGGAAGGGCTGAACGGATCTGCCCAAACCCATCTCTAATGAAGGAAAAGGGAAGGGAGGAGCTGTGGTTTTGCGTAAAGGACAACTCTCGTTAATGAGTAGCCAGAAGGGGTGCCTCCCCGATTTGGGGCTTGCCAGCAACAATTTCAAGCATCTCTTTTTGTTTTTCTGAGGAATAATTAAGCTGAATGACTTATCTTCCTTATTATGCACACTGGCCGTAGAGATCTGGAAGAATCCCTTCAGGAAGGGAGCTCTGACAAATGCCGGGGTTTCCTGGGGGTGTGAGGAGGCGGCCACTTGTCTCATACTCTAAGGCTGCATGTGCTGTACCAATGAACTGCTTCATCACATGTTTTAAAAATTATACTACCAGTCTCTATATGTTGACTCTACTGATGAGAGGCAAGCAGAGTTCATAAAGCCTATGGATTGCTGTCTCTTTGGTAAATCGTTAGCCACTGTTGAATGTTCCAGCAAGCTTTCTAAACAACTCCTATCTGCAGAAGGAATTGGCTGGAACCAGAATGGGTCTGTGACAGCCAATGAAGCCTTTGGCAGCTCTGAGAAGACGGCCAATGGGGATATTTATAGAACTGTCGGAGGTCTAACCTTGGGCAGGCACCCAGCATGGAAGAATTCAGCGAAGATTTCTTATTGTTATCCTCCCCCAGTTCCAAGTCTAACATCACCCATGTTAGAATTTCTGCTGTTAACACTCTCTCCTTCACTCTACTTAATACTAACATGTTACTTAATTCTTTGCCAAGAGATTGCTCTAGCGTGTTTTCCCGAATTGGAAGTGGTAGCCATGAGAGTGGAAGACAGATCGGCAGGACGAAGGTGTTCAGCCCCTGAGTTCTGACCCAGGCCATTGCTGCCTGTAGCCACGTGAGGAGGGATGCATGCACAGAGGACATGCCAGGAACATGCGCTCCTTGTATAGCTAAGGCATCAGCCTCAGTCTCTCTCTGAGATCTTCATTAGAGCCTTAAGATTTCCACTTATCCTCCTTTCCCGGGGCTTGGAGCAAGCCAGTGTAAGCCTCCCTTGTTTCTCTCTGCTTCTCCATGACCCCCTTGTTCCTACTCGTACCCCCTGGAACAAGGCTGGCTCTGTTTCACCAGGCCGATGCTGTGGAGGAAAGAAAAAACCAAGTCATACCTTGGAAGATAACCTTCCTTCTTTCTCCCACTGCCACTGAAACGTTTGCCTCCTGCTAAACCAATTCCATTACGTATCCTGTGGATACCATTTTTTTTTTTTTGATGTGACTGGAGTTGTTCCTAAAGTGAGCAATGTGGCGTGGGGCACTGGGGATACGTTGCAGAGAGGCTGGGGCATCACTGGAGAGGAAAATGACATCCAGAAATTATGTGTCCAAGTCACTGGGATGGCCAGAAACCCCTTTGAGTTTCTATTATTCAGATCTATGGCTCTAGTTTTGTAACTATCCAGTTGGGCAAAAAGGCAAGACTTTCCCAGGCTCCTCACCTCTGAGCAGGAAGCACTGGTGCCTCCTTTGACATAATGGTGGATAGAGGCGCCGTCAAGTCTTAGCTGCAGTCACGGGGGATCCAAGCACAACAGTGGTAGGGGATTTGGAACATGGATGGAAAAGAAAAGGTGCTCTCTTCCTTACTAGGTTGCCCTTGAACATTTTCAAGGAGTCGATCCAAGTTGTATGGAACCTTAACCCACCCATCTGTAACTTTTTTCATTGTGCTGTTTCCAAATGGCAGCATATGTTTAAGAAAGTGTTTTAGAAGATACTGGCACTGTGTGTATGTGTCTGCCCGTACGTATGCACGCTTATATGTGTGCATCGTCGTATGTGTGCATGCATGTATGTATCTTATGGGAACTCGGTGGCTGGTGAAACAGCCTGAATCGAAGTCATTGGCAGAAACCCAAAGTCTGCATACAGAAAAATCTTCTGTTGAGCAATTGCCTTGACTGTTCTGATTAAGAATACAGTGCGGAGGTGCAATGGGCCATCAGAGAATGAAAAAAATGATGTGATGGCTTGGACCCCTTTTGGGAAGAAGATGGTGTGAGAAGAGAATGTGGGCTATTTAGGTGATCTTTACCTCCAGCCAGGGAGCAAAAGACCGTAGAGTTTCTCTGCTTTTAAGCCGCCTTTGTTCAGGAAGGCGATGCACCTCCCCTCCCCTTCCGGTTCACTCTGTCATGCTGACAGTAAGGCTGGGCTCAGAGAGCTCAGTAACCATTGTGCTTTTGTCCTCCTCAGTCACCACGGGAGCCATGCTGGGAATCAACGGAGCAATGGAGCTGCTTTTCAAGGTCATCACTCCTTACACCAGGAAGCGTACCCGAATAATCAGGTATGGAGTTCTTTCGTGAGTACTTTTGCCATTTGTGCATAATAGATGCAGAGATGGAGATGACCTCATATATATTCTCATGGTGCTTCCAGCTCCATTGGGTGATAACTTCCCTGCCTTACAGATATCATATGATGGCTTTATTTGATCAATGACAAATTATACCGCCCCCCCAACCCATGCGTCATTTCCTGTAATCCTTGCAACAACCCCGAGTGGATATATTATTACCCTCATTTTCACACGAGGAAACGAGAGTGTGGGAAGAGCCTCATCCACAGTCACAGTGCTACAAAAAGCAGAGCTGGGATTGGTATCCAGATCTTTCTGACTTCAAAGCCTAGGCTTTCTGCCTGAAGACTTCACTTCTTCTTTGTACTCCCAACAACTCTACCATGAGTACAGTCCTTAAGGGAGAGTCCAGAAATGACAGGGAAAGGTGACATTCCTCAGGGGCCAGCCCGTTAAATCTCTGGGCCTTACAGTCGTTCATCATGGTTGTGGGCTGGTTTTCAGATGTTTTTTATGATTGGAAAATGAAACTCTACCGTTCTCTCTGGCATGCTGGAGTGGAGTGAATCACCGTCTTAAAAAGGGAGATGGTTAGACATGAAGGCGTTAGAGATATTTGGAACCATTAAGAGCCATCATTTCTGAGAGTGACTCAGCGAGGACCTTGAAAGAATATTAGAAACGATTCAGCCAATTTTCAAGATAGATGGGGTCGTTCCGCAAAGGAGCATTTCCATGCCCAGCCATGATACTCTCCGCAGCCCAGCCTCAATCTCGGGCTCACGTTCCACCCGGAGATTTTTCTCTTGGGGTCGCCCCAGGAACGCCATTATCATCTGTCCTCACCTACAGCTCTCCACACCAGCGTTTTCCTAGAGTGAAATACGTTATGTCTCAGGGAAAAAAAAATCCCTCCTCCAATGTATTGAGAAGTACTGGCTTAAAGAAAGTCTGGTTGATTTTCTTTACTGTAAGACTTCGCAAAGCCTTTGTCAAGCCAGCACACCTTCAGAGTATCTGAGATGGGCTTGTAGTATATCCTGCTCTAAAGCTGGTTGGGCCAGGGAACTGTTTTTTTGTTGGGAAACTCTCTTTCCTTGGGAGTCAGTGTTCTGTTGACCTCATTTTAGACACCTCCCATCAAAGTGCAAATGTCTTACAAAATGGGATTCAACTAAATTCTACTAAATAATTCTCAAATAGTAAGAATAATACTTCAGGGTCACAAACTCCGTAACAAGCCCAAAAATAAACTGGTGACTTTCTGTAATTATACTTCATTTCCATCTTAAATGTCCATCTGTGTCCATGGGGAGAGATAGGACTTGGATATGGACACATCTGGTTTTTAACACCGTATGCCGGTCTTCACTGCTGATATCTGCAGTCCTAACCTCTCCCTTGGCTACCAACCCATAAACTTTGCCCTTTAACCCTATTCACATGGCCTCTTCTGATCTGCTGCTGGTCTCTTCATCCATTTGGCAGCTCAGGAATATGTGGTTGCTTCCCCGACAGTATGTGAAAAATCTGCAGGATGTCTGCTGGGCCTGGGCGCATGTGCGTCTCACCCAGTCACCTCTGCCCACCGGGGGCCGCGTTGTTTGGAGGGCTTCTCGGGGAAGCCCTTCCCAGCTAAGCTGGGCATGGAGCCCCTTCCTGCTAGGGCCCTCTCACCTTTTATTGTTGTCAATGTGAGAAATGTCCAAGCCTGTAGAACATCTTTTAGTTTATTTGGGTCAAACTGACCACAATGGCCAGGAAGCAAAATCTCAGTGAATTGAGAATGGCAATTTGCAGCCGACTTTATACAGGAGAGTCCAAGGGGGAGATGGAAGGAGGGTTACAAGAAATCCGTTGGTGTAGATTAGGGGGGTGGGAAAAAACAAATTGGGGAAATCTCTGGGATCGGATAAAACATAAAACAGGGACACATCCTTCTCTTCCATTGGTGGGTACAGGACAGTTAACGGTGAATATTTACTGCACACAGAGATGGTATGTGAGGGAACAAGATAACAGTAAGGGGTTCTGTGGCCTCTATTCTGGTGGGAGATTGTGCCCTGAGGGGTCTGGAAAAGGAGGCTCCTCCGATATTTCAAAAGTGTGTTATCATAGATGCAAAAATGCAATAGACAGGCTCACTTTAAAGGTTGACCTTTGCCAAGGAAGCTGTAGGCTGAGGATGCACCTGCCCGCAATACCTCGCTTCTGTTAGGAATTTTTAGGTTCAGACCATCCTGTGTGGTTACTTTTGGTCTCCAAGTTCATAAGGCTGCCAGGCAGCCCCCTCCCAGTCTTGTGAGGGTTAGGACAGCCCCTTTTTCATCCTCGTTGTCTTCCGCATTCAGGCAGTGGAGGGGAGAGCAGGCGACAAAGCACGAAGTCCCCTTCTCGAACTTTAGGCTTGTCTCTTTGCTGCTCTTCTCCCGCAGGGGGAGTTGAATTCATGTACAGATGTGACTCAGGTGCCTCTGGAACTTGGGAAAGTAACACCAGGGATGTTTCCAATGGCAAAAGGAACCTTCAGGGACCTCAGGCATATTTCTGCATTTCTTTATTTTTTTTCCTGTAAAATTGGGGCAACGTGATCTCCCCACTTTTTTAAAAGAATATTAATAAAAGCTTTATTTCTAATAGTGAAAAAACTGGAAACAACCTCAATGTCCACCAATAAATGAATGGATAAACAAACTGGTGTAGCTATACAATAAAAACTGATCAGCAGTAAAAAGGATAAGCTATTGATACCAGCAACAATATGGATAGATCCCTAAAATTCTAGTCTGGGCAAATGGAAGAAAGGTATAAAAACATGTGTATTTTATGATTCCATTCAAATGAAGTTCTAGGTCAGGCGAAGTTTGTTTGCAGTGACGGAGAACAGATTAGTGGTTGCCTGTAGCTGGGTTGTGGGTAGCTTCCCCTTCCTGAACCAAATGACAAACTATAAAACCTCTATGGAAGACCTGTTTGTCCCCTCCCGTTACAACACAGCTGTCATTACTGTGGCATTTTTTATATGCCCTGCCCTGTGCTAAACTCTTCACACATAAATTTATCTTATTTGATAATCTACTCTGCAAAGCAGGTGCTATTACTGTCCCCAATTTTACAGGGGGAAAAAAAATGGAAGCTGAGAAAAGTTAAGTAACGTGCTAAGATTTAAGTAAAAGCCCTGGGATTTAAAACCTGTCTGATAACACGAGCCTTAGCTCTTAAACCACCACCCAAGTGTCTTACACAGTCTGCTTCCAGTATTTTATTTCGAAACTACCATATGTAAGACAATCATAAGCTGTTAAAGTTTGTTTAAATTTCTGTTACCGTCTAGATGGCTCACACTCATGGAACAATTTGCTTAATGATAGAGGAGCCTTTTGCTCAATCTAATGGGTGTTTCCTCTCAAAGCCTAAATAAATGTGTGTACCCTCTGCCTTCAGATTCTTTCCCAGTGCTGCCTTGTTTTCCACCTCACCCCCAGCCCCCAACAACAAGATATGAACAAAGGTGTTAAAATCAGAAGACCTGTACTGTAGCCATCTTTCTAGATCACCCTCAGAGTGTGAAGAGCAAGTCCTAACTCCTAGGAGGGTTGCAGGCATTAAGGAACAAGGTGTAAAAATGTTGCAAGCTTTGATGTGCATGATATTGTTCATTGTTCTTAGTACAAATATGTGGAGATGGGACGTTTCGGCCAGCACGCACCTTCTCCCCTGAACTCCATCCCCCAAGGAGTAACTAAAATGTGCCCAGTGGATTCTCCTGAGCTCCACTCGGGTGCCCGAACCAGTGGGAGGGAAGGGTCTTCTGGGAAGGGGATGAGGGACCGCGTGAGGGGCATGGCTGGCCTCCTGAGCGCCCCCTCCGAGGGCAGCGGGCTGTGGGAGTTATCCCGGGACACGTGTAGGAACCGATGCCCAGTGCGTGTCACTGTTTCCTCCCTGCCCTGGAGATTAGACCTGCCCCACTTCCCCAGCATGGACCTAAAATTAGCCCTGCAGCTGTCTCCCAGCAGAGCGCCGTCTCCAGGTCGTACTCAGGGCAAGATTTATGACAGCGGCACACACCGCACGCCTTCCAGAGAGAAGGGGCCTGCAGAGCAATGTCACTGACCCTCTGTGGCCTCGCGCCAGCCCTGACTCCCAGGGAGGCGGCTGGCCCGGCCCTTCCTCACACCCCATATTCCCACCGGGCTGGCAGTTTCCGTGGCACGTGTTGGGGCTGGCCTGCACCTGCTTCCGCATGGCCATCACCTTCGTCCGAGCAGTTTTTGTCCGACTACTGCTCTTCCTTGACTCCAAAGCAATCGTGAACGTGTCCCAGGTTCTGTCCATCCTCATCTTTTATCCCTGCCCTCATCTCCCTTTCTGGCTCCCGGTTCCTGCATGTGGCAGGCCCTGAGCGTCCCGGGCTTCCCCTCCTGCGGAATGGCTCTGCTGCTTCCTGAGTGCTAGACATGCTCCTGCTCTCGGGCCCCACCTGTGGCACCGGCTCCGCCTCGCCGGACAGGCGTCTTCCCTCCTCCGCGCTTCCCCTGCACTTTGTTCACCTTTCCCGTTAGCTTCGTCGGCTTCACCTCTGCACTGCATTGTTCTGAGTGTCTTCTCTCCCCTCTTAATTCTATATTTTCTAAGGGTTGAAATCAAGTCGTTTTTATCTTGCTGTTCTCCATAGGGCCTACGCAAGGGCCTGTATGGTTGACTTTTAATCCAATTCAAAAGAAATTCTTCAATTCAAAATATTTTTTTTTTGTGAATAAACTATCTAATAATGAAAAGTCACTCTAACTGGTGTGGCTCAGCTGGTTGGCATTGTCTTGCAAAGCAGAAGGTTGCCAGTTTGGGTTTGATTCCTGGTCAGGGCACAGGCCGGGTTGCAGGTTTGGTCCCCAGTTGGGGAATGTACAAGAGGCCACCGATTGATGTTTCTCTCTCACACTGATGTTTCTTTCCTCCTCTTTCTGCCTCCCTTCCCCTTTCTCTAA